GGTCGTCGGTCTGCCGCCGTTATTGGGAGATGAGGACGCCGCTCCCTTGGAGCGACGTCCATTTCCCCAATAACTGGCATCCGTCCGTCGACCGGGTCCCGATCCCGCCGGTCCCGACGAGCGGCCGTGCGCGCGACCAGGAGATCGAGCGCCGCCGCCACCTCCTCCCCGACGACCTCTTCTACGACCCCAGGTATGCTCCCGACTCCGGGCTCTGGGACACCTGGTTTCATGACGAGCACGACACCAGGCGCGCGTCCTTCTTCGCAGGCACCTCGACAGGGCCGCGGCGGCCACGACAGGAGCGGGGGCGTACCCGGGTGCGCGGCTTGACGCCCACGCCGTCGCCTTCACCGTCACCGTCGCCACCTCCCCCTCCTCGCATGACAGCGGAGGAGGAGGCCTGTCTCCTGCAGCGTGTCATGGACAACTCCATGAACACGCACGACGAGCGGCAGTGGCACGGCCTGGAGGAGACCATGGCCCTCTCCACCGCCGGGGACGTTGCCTTCCCGGAGATGGCGGCCGTCACGAAGGAGCCGACGGAGGAGGCGTTGCCGGCCGCGTTCCAGCAGCTGCTGGGCCAGGGGTGGGGCTGGTCCTGCACTGCTCCGGAGATGGCCGCCGGCGTGGGCGTGAACTGGTGCCCACTCCGCCGCGGTCACCGGAGCGGGAGGCGTCACCCCAGGAGGAGGTGGTGCAGGCACCTCCGGCCGTCCAGCCAGCCCCCATCTACCACGCACCGCCGGCCCATTTGTGGACGCCGCCGGCCTCCGTCGACCTCGTCAGCGACGAGGACGACACCGGTGCCCAGTGAAGTCGGCGACGGCCACGGCACCGACGGGCGCGGCAGGAGCGCGCGGGAGGAGTTTTTTTTATTTTGTTTTTATATGTTAATTATGAAACTGGGCATTTTAAGTGGCCGTGGAAACTGGGCCGTTTTGTGGCCGACCCCTATATATGTTTTATGTTTTTTTAAATGCGTGTATTTACTTTTTTAGTTATTTCATTCCAGTTTTCATTTTTTTATTCACGTCCACCCCGAACATGATTTGGGGTGCGGCCGCGCGGTGGGCCCACGCACGCCCCATCTGACAAAGCCGGACACGGGCGAACTCATCGGCGCCCCCAAAGGGACAAAATCCGGCCAAATCCGAACGTCCGTTTGGGGTCGTGCGGTGGAGTTGGCCTCAGTGCCACACGCGCGTCGTATACATGGATTATCCTGGGTTTTTTTTAAGAAAAGACCTAAGGCCAGATATATTAGAGCAACTCTAGCAGACCCCGCAAAATCTCGACCCACAAAACATGTTTGTAGTTTGACAATCGTTTACGGGTCGAGAACGAGTGCGGCCGAACAGAAACCGTAGATAAAATTGCATAATTTAAAAAAAACACAGTTTCGCGCGAGAAATTGCACCTCGTGGACGCGAGTACTTCATCATGTACTACATATATTTACATGATCAAACACTACAAACACTAGTTCATACTACATACTACATCGGTACTAGTACTAGAGGGGTGGGGATCTCACGGCGGCGAGCTCGCGCCATGGACGACACCGTGGAGGAGCTCAATCCTCCTCGCAGGAGCTGCCGAGGTCGATGTACTTCGCCCTCTGCTCCTCGCGGATGTGCCGCCACTCGTCGTCTTTCTCCTTGGCGGCGAGGTTGGCTGCGATCGCCTGCTGGAACTCGAGGTCTTCGAGCTCCTCGTGGTGGCGCCGGCGCTCCGCCTCCTCGTGTAAGCTCTGCTCGGCAATGGCGGTCGCAACCGCGTCGACATCGGCGATGAAGTCCTCCGGCCTGACGACTCTGCGGCGGCCGAGCTCCTCGGGCTCCTCCTTGACGGGGACGAACTCGAAGTCCTCCGGCTCCTCCGACCACTCCCTCTTCACGGGGAGAAGGCCCGTGCCGAAAGAGGAGGAGCTCCCGGCGTAGGAAGATCTCGCCACGGAGGAGAAGGGCGCGGCAGAGGACGGGGTACGGCCGTGCCGACGGTCGTACCCGTCCGTCTCGCGGACGTGGAAGCTCGACGGCGGCAAGAGGCCGCGGTTGATCCAATTCGTCGCCCCGCGCTTCCTCGTGTCATTCGACCGGACGCGCTGCTCGCGCTCGGGGTCCCTGCCGCCACCGGATCTGCTGCCGGAGCTGCGTCCGAAGCTCCACATGTGGCCCCACATGGCGGCTGGAGGCGGAAGGGGGTCGCCGGCGGCGAGAAATGTGGAGAGGGGGGTGGGGAATTGCGTAGCTCGGCGGCGGCGGGGGATAGGGTTTCGACCCGCAAACGCGTCGCGAACCCGTAGATATAGTGGTCGGGGCGTGCGGTTTGCGGGCTGCGGTAAATTTTTTTACGGGCCGGGCGAGTATGTGGGCTCTGTTCTGGCCGGAATATTGGGCCGAGCCCACATACTCGCTGGAATTTTGCGGGTTCGTGGCTTTTACGGGGTCTGCTAGAGTTGATCTTAGGCTGGTCATAATGAAAGTTTATGCCCGGATGGACGGTCTGGTAACTGAAAACCCGACGGCTCCTCATATCGGCTCCACGCGTCCGTGCGTATCAACACCCCTCATATCCATCCCTAATCTGAGATCAATATGGGAGGCCCGAGCGCGTCCAGGCGTGTTCTCCACGTCGGACACGGCCCATGGTGGCCCATCCTGACCCCATATATATCCGTCGGCATCCGCATCCCGGACCTAATCCTAGCCACTTTACTTCACTCCACCCCGTACCCAAGCTCCCTTCCGGCGATCTCTAGCGAGGCGGGCATCAGATCTGACTCTAAGCCAGCCCTGATCCATCAACCATGGTGTATGCGCTTGACCAAGTTCCGATTTAATCCAACGGAAATCCATCGTGTCAGTGCAATGGGCGCTCGGATTTGCCGTTGTCGGAAGCTTGAGGTCAGTCTACCACCCCATCTCCGTTACGGAGAAGTTCTACTTCCATGACAAAGACGCTAAGTGTGCTGGCAAGGGCGAGGGCAAGGACAACCATGAACGATCTTTGTCCATAATTTATTATGCATGTGGATCATGCCAATTTTTGGTAGTCTC